AAAAATCTGAGGACGAGTGTTTCCGCTGTGGAGATGGAGGGCAGCTGGTGCTCTGCGACAAGAAGACCTGCACCAAAGCTTATCACCTGTCCTGCCTGAACCTCACCAAGAGACCGTTCGGTAAGACTCCACAGACAGTCTGAATGCATCTGTTTATGCTATGTTAACTCCCTGTTATTATTACTCACAAATTACATGGCAGCAAGCAAACTTCACATCAAACGAGTCTGAACTAAATGAGTCAAAACCAGGCTTTCAGAGAGGAGGGAGTCTGTTTACCCCCAGGAAAGTTGCTGCACCTGGTGACTAATCACTAAGTTTGCAGTGGAGATGGAAATGGAGAGCTTCACTGCTTCCAGTATAAAAGGAGAAATGGGCTTCGGCTGCCTATTTCTTTAATCCTTCTTTTTCATTTGTTTTTAGCTGTTTTTACAATAATGTGTTTTTTGTTTTTGTTTTTTAATCAAAATTGATGCCTCTCGCAATGTTAAGGCCCCACATGGGCACCGTGAGGCTGTTTTTTGATGAGATGTAACTGACTGAGCTCTAGTGAAAGTGTCGTGGCTCTCCACAGGCCGCTGGGACTGCCCCTGGCATCACTGTGACGTCTGTGGGAAAAACTCTGAAGCCTTCTGCCAACTCTGCCCAAACTCTTTCTGCAAGGCTCACCAGGAGGGGGCGCTGCGTCCCTGGCCCCCCACAGGACAGCTGTGTTGTATGGAGCACGAAGAGCTGGAGGGAGGCGACAGCCACACCCAGGATATCGACTCGGAGACGAAAACGGCCGCCGCCGTCAGTCGTTCCTCTAAAAGCTCCAAGAAGGCGGAGGGAGCAGAGGGCAAAACAAAGGGCTCCAAGAGAAAAGCCGCAGACACCTGAAGTGACCTTTCACAGAGCCAAAAACACCAAACCAGACTCGGGCCCCCTTCTTCCCCTTCCACATATAGTGTTTTCACAGGAACCAAGGCACTGTACATCGTTGTTATCAGGGAAAGCTGCTGATCTCTCACATGCTCAGCAATGGCTCATCGCTCAAGAGTCTTTTTGTTTTTTTACCTTTGAAATTTTCAGGCTTTTTTTGTTTTGTTTGTTTTTTCCCCTCTCCCCCCGTCTCGTCTGCATTGAGGCGACCCATCTGTGGTGAAGCACAAATCAGCAGAGCAAGCACAGGTCCGGACACTCATTCCTCCAGAAACCAAACAGCCTCTCATCTTACTGTCAGCTTGTTGGTTCGTTTTTCCTCGTGTATATAACAGAAGAAATGAGCTGGCGTCTGCATTAACGCTGATCCAGCCAGGACTGAAACCAAGTGCCAGTGTCACCGTCTAACTTGAACCTCAGTCGGGCCCCCTCCTCTCGCTCAACACGGATTATCTTGAACAGCAGAGTTTTATAGCTTATATCTATATATGTATATCGAAGACCAAAAGTATAATTACTGGAGTAGTGTAAGACATCACACAGGTTGCCAAATGGATTGTTTTTATTTTTATATATAGTATATATATATGCCAGATGTAATATGGAACACCAAGACACTATGGATAGGCGTCAGATGACCTCTTTTGTTTTTGTAGCCATAGATGACCTGTAACTGTAGACGTGTGCTGTTGTTTTTGTTGTAGCTCAGTTTGAACTTTTTTTTTAAAAATAATTTTATGATTTCTTTTTTTTTTTTTTTTTTTTTTGAGTTTATTTGTGAAACAAAGATGTTGAACAGTGTGAAGCATGTCCAGTAAACGAGGGATTACAGAAGGTATTAAAAACGAGAGCAGTCTGAAAACTGCCCTGTGACTTGAAAAAACAACAACAACAACAAAACACTACTTGGAGGATTTCCAGGTCTTAAATACTCTGTTCGATGATGAGCCACATTCTCGAAGGAATGACGGTGACTTTTCGGGTCAGTTCAGAGTCCTTAAGGTGCTCTCTCTCTGTCTTTTTTTTAAATATCCACTGTAGTGTCTGATATCTGATCTCCGCAGATTTTAAGCTGGAGATATAATAATGCTGTCTGAAAGCCGGGCTTTTTATCGACGTAATCTGAGAATTAAAAAAAATCTTTCTTTTTTTAAATCCTCCGGAGGTTTTTGTCTCAGAACTGCAGTCCGGTTATTATTTAACACTCACGCGCTGGCAGACGACAGCACACTGGCTAACGTAATGCATCTTAATATTTGACGTGTACTTTTGTCGCATTTAACGATGAGCCCCGAGGGCTACGTGTCAGGCGCTTGGCTGAGCATAAAACTGCTAAAATACTTGGCCTGTGTTTGGCTGATGCAAGTTTCATAACCTCACCCTGCAGACGGTGTAAGAATGGGCACAGCCACTATGTCCCCCTAGTCCCAAAACGAGGCCTGAAGCTGAGGGGTTTTTCAAAATGTTGATGTTCCGATACAAGAACATCAACATTGAGTGAGGGAGCTCAGTGCTTCTGTTCGATTGTGCAGCATTTCACTAGAATGCCTAAAAGCAAGTCCTGATATTTGTGCAGGGGGGAGTCTCTGCATTTACCTTCTGCACCGGAAAGCATCAGCCAAGCCACCAACACCCTCACCCCACCCAATTTTCTTTTTTTTTTCCCCTGAAGGTGTTAAAACAGCGTTCCCACAGGTGTATCTTCATGTATGTAATGATTTTCTTTTATTTAAAGTGCTGAGCTGAGCCAAGTCTGACAATATAGAGCTCTGAAACCACTGCTTCTGAAAAGCACACACACCTGTCGAGGGAAGAGCACAATCAGGTTGCTGTAATCATGTGACACCTCCACACTTTTGCCAGTTTTTGCCTGAAAAGTGCTGATTATGCTTCCTGAGCGGATTTGACATTTTTAGGTCTCGCTGCTGCTGCTCTCTTTGAGTCGGTCACGAGGCTGCAGACATTTGCTTGTGCCTTTAACTTCACATTTGTCTGACTGTTTAAATTCTCTCTTCCAAACAGGTCGCTTGTTTCAGCAACTTTTTTTTTTAATCTCTTAAAAAAGACTCAGAAGCAGATTTTACTTGTATACATCCATCAGGAGGCTGTTCTCTTGTTTTGTTTTTTAATAACTGCACTTTTTTTTTTGTAAAGTTTTTCCCCAGGGCATGTGACTGGGACGTGTCCAAATGTTCAGCGAGTATTTTTGACTTCCTATGTTAATGATCTTCATCCTAACCTTGATTTATTGTTCTGTTGAGTGAATGTAGTCCAACCAGTCCCCTTTTTCTTTTTTATTTTGAAAGCACTGTAATTCCCTGTAGAGCTGAAGTGTAATGCGTGTAGGGGTTTCATTCTGTAACTACTGTCATAGTAAACCAGACTAATATGTACATAATGTATAAGTGGTAATAGTGATGCATTTATTGTAAATATACAAGTTTGTCCTTTTTGTTTTTTTTCTTCCTCCCCTTGATGCAGTGCTGAAACACTTTTGTGCAGGATCTCACGTCAGCTGAATCGTGCAATAAAAAGTGGTTGAACATGTATCCACCGTCTGCTTTTTTTTTTTTTTCTGTGTAACTGAGAGAAATAAATGTACGTCTGTTTTCACCGAGACACCAGTGTGAGATGGCACGCCTCCGCATAATTCAGTCAGGAGCCAGAAGATTTGCTTTAAACAGCATAAAGTCAGTTGTGGTTTTGTTTTTAATAAAGACGTTCAAATCACAAATCTTTGGAATTTTCTAGTTGTGATGGAAATTTTTTTTTTAAGCTGCCAACAAGATGATGAGTCAAATTTCCTCAGTGTCCAGTGTTAACGAGGAGGTTCAAAGGAATCTTGAGGTCATCATGGGCTCATCCAGTCATCTATCTGTTGCTGTAAAGGACACATGTGGGCTGCTAACTCTCAGCTGCCGCCCTATGTGGGAGTAAAAAGAGTAAGTGCAGTCCTTATGTAACATGTGACAGGTGAATGCGATTAAGGGCAAACTCCAAAGCCAATCAAAGGTGAGAAAAGGAAACAAGGTGAATCAGGTGAGGGATAGTGAGGAGAAAAGAATCTTTACAACATCCAGGTACTACAATGCTACATCCCAGTGCTGCAAGATGATTTGCATTAACAAGCCTCTGATGACTCTACATGGACCATGTTGACCTTCATTCACAGAACCACACTGAACTCCACTGTAGTCTGTGGACCAAGAGATGAGAAGTAATCTGATTACTGGCTTAGTTTTCTCCCTCCACCAAAATGAAGATGAGATGCCTTTGATGCCTCTCTTTGAAATCAGCTGTTTGTCACTTTGAAACTTATGAAGCACCTTTAGCAGCGATAACTTGACATAATGTTTTTCAGTGACTTTGTCCGTTTCTCACATCATTGTGGGGGAATTTTTGGCCCACTCTTGCTTCAGTTCACTGAGGTTACGCACAGCTCTAAGATCCTAATCGTCACCTCTCCCTCAACAGCCATCATGACGTGTTTGTGCTGATGTGGATGTGATCGGTTTTCACCAAACGTGGCGCTGACTCATTACCGAACATCTCCTCTTTGGTCACCTGTTCAGGGGACGTTGTTCCAGAAGTCTCGTGGTGTGTTAGATGCAGCTTTGCAAACATAAAGCTCAGCAGCCCTCAGTCTTTAATGGTATTGTCATAAACTTTAACATTTAACATGCTGAGACCTGTAGAGTCTGAGCTGTACCACACAGGGTTCTGTGTGACCCTACAAGGACATCCTCCTAAAACTTTGAAGGCAGCCTAACATTTGCCAGTGTCTACAGACTCTTCCACACCTGTAACCTGCATTCAGGGCACCCATAGGTGGACCTGGCACTCCTGATGTTTTCAGTCAAGCTGCAAAGTGAGTAGAAGTCCCTCTGCAGGGCAACAGGCCCTCATGGAGTCAGACATGCACGCAGATCCTCCTCACACATGAACCAACTACTCACACCAGAAAAAAAGTTAATGTATTTTTTTTATAAGGAGATCTTCAAGATGAGAGCATTTTAACATATACCTTGAATGACTGAGTTACTGTATCTCTACAACTCATCAATGAGACACAGAAACCATTTTTCAGTCCAGCAGAGTTTTTATTCCTCTTTAAGACAACAACAAAAAAATAATATTTTGCATAACAGTAGTACAGCAGCGGCCAAGGGTACAAAACGCTTTCTTTTTTTGTTTGTTTTAATTATTCAGTGTAAAAATAACTCTACTCACACCTGTGCCGTCCTCTCGTAGTGCAAACGCTTCAAATAAAAGTTAGGCACATGATGGATACGATCGCAGTTCAAATTACACTTAAGTGCTGATGACGAGTAAAACATCATTCTGAATTCCTGTTTCAGTTTGCCTGCCAACCCACCCCCACCCGGCGTCATCGCGTAGGACAACCACAGACTGAAGAAGTACTCCGTTTAAACAGCGTTAAAAGGGCAGTTTGACCTCCTCTTTGAAGCGGTCGAGGTCCGATGAAGCCGGATTAATTAAAAAGAAGACCTACGCAGTCCTGATCACTGACAGTATGACTGAGGATTACCTGCTTCTGATTCTTCCACTAAGTGCAACTGACTCATGGCCGAGTTTAATACTAGAGACGAAAAGAAAAGACATAGCAAGCTTATGGTCCCAAGCAACAATCCCAACTTTGATGCTATTGCTTGTTTATATCTGAGCGAGCGATTAAGTGGCAACTTGACATCTTTCTATTCTGAGGAAAGGAAAAAAAAAAGAACTAGCACAAAATAAAATAAAATATTTCCCAGTTTTACATATGTTACAAATAAAAAATAAATATCAGCTCTGTTTTTACTCTAGCCTTTTGTGTTTTGTTTAGGATTTAGAGAAAAATAAAGGTACAAAGAGCGGCTGTCGTTCTTCTCCGAACAACACAGTGCAGCTTAATTTCTAAGAGTTGTTCCGTCATCAGGACGCCAGGACGCCCCGGCGAATGATGTCAGAGACGTAGCGGCGGCTGAGTGACGAGTCGCCTCTCAGCTGGTGTGAGTGGCATCGTTTCAGGCAGGGCTCCAGCTCGCCGTCGCCCGCCTTGGAGTCAGACGTGTAGTCCTCGTTTTCCGTCCCCGTGCGCAGTCGGGTCCTGGGGTACGACGGCTTGGGCGTGTTGGTCAGTGGCCTGAGCAGGGGCTTGTGTAGCTCCGCCTGCTTTTGCTCCGTTATACTTGCGGGTTTCTCGCTCCTCTTTGGGATCCTGAACTTCCCCCAGCTTCTCAGCTGTGCAGCCTCGGGCCCGTTAGATGCGTGGGAGCTGTCGGCCGAGGCTCTCCTCAGCCAGCCGTTGGTCTTGGCGCTGGGAGCGGTGTCTGACACCGTGCTGGCTTTGTTACATTTAGTGTTGCTCGTCACATCCGGAGAGACCGGGCTTCTTTTGATCCCTTCATCTATGAAGTAGTTGTCTGAGTCAGAGTTTCTGATGTCTACCAGTCTGATGGACACCGTTTTCTCCAGATGCTTTGACCCAAACCTGTTCTTCCCCTGGCTGGTGAAGCTTTCTGTGGAATCATTCCCCTTTTTCCTCCTCCTCTCCTCCTGCTCATGCTCAATATCCCGTTTTCGTCTCGCTTCCAGTTCGGGCTCCGCAGCCTCCCTTCTCGGGCCTTTCCGGCTCTCATGCTTGGGCAGTTTGCCGACGGCTGGTTCCTGAATGACCTCTGGCTTTGGGAGTTTTTTAAACTGTGTCTCCTGACTGATGTGTTGGATTCTGGCCTCCATGGCTGCGGCCTCTTTGATCTGGGAACTTTTGCTATCCTTCGTCTCCGATGCCTTGCTCAGATTGTCTTTCTTTTGAGTGTGCGGTGAGTTGGGCAGGCTTTTTCTCTCGCTGCTTTTCCTTTTTTCCTTTCGTTTGGTCTTCAGTCCAGAGGGGCTCCAGGAGGAGCTAGACTGGGAGCCCTGAGACGATAACCAGCCCAGAGAGAACAGCTTTTCCAGATCCTTTGCTGAAGGATCGCCTGAAACACACAAAAAACATACAGGTTTATTAAAACATGAGAGGTAACTATCTGTAATTATCAACCAGCCAAATTAGTTGCTTTTTCTAATATTTCTATCCTCATGTAAAGGCCAACAGCAGAACGCAGGGCTTTGCTGTGAGCACCAGTTCAATTTTTTTAGTATGTAGCAAACATTTGTAGTCTTTTGATACAGGAAGTAGCTTTAACATTGTGCTGACTTCTTACTGAGCACGAATCAGACCTGGGAATAGGATGAGGAACATGACCTGTGTGCAAGTCACATCCTAATTTCTGCCCTTCTCTCGCCAAAGTTTCCACGTGCGATCAGCGACGCCATCAAGGAAATCCAGAAAGATCTACTTGACGTAGCCTGTAACACGTCGCCTACTGATGGCCTTTCAATCAGCTCAGCAAATAGTTGCTGGGTGCAAATATACAGAAATGACCAAACCCCACATCAGAAGTCGTGTGTGCAGAAACACACTTTTATAATTCAATACAAAATATCTCAACACGTTACGAACTGCAGGCGGTTGCAGTTTGTAACGTGCAGCTTTCTCACCTGCAGACCTGAGAAAGCTGATGGGACACACCGTCTACTAGCTAGGTTTACTAACATGAATGCAAAATTCATGTGGAAGCTACCACATGCAAACCTGTTACAGTTTGTTCATCTCATGGACTCACCGCTGAGCAGCTCGTGGTCAAGCAATCGGACCTGGTGCTGGAAGATCTGCTCCTGGACTTTCCACAACGACCGCTTCATCTTCTCTCTCCGAGTCACCATGTAGGTCAGGTTACGAACCTGTGGAGCATTAGCAGCTTCTTTAGTCACGCTTTTATCAGATTGCATCAACAACAACAACAACAATCTTTATTTATAGAGCACATTTAAAAGCCAAGGGCATGCCAAAGTGCTTTACATGAAAGAATAAAAGAATAAAACAATTAACACTATAATATCAGAGTCATATAAGTGTGGAATTATGTTCACAGGTAAAAACCACTAATAAGAGTAAACTATAGCACATAGCTATAGCAAAGTAACGCTGTACCATCAAACACAGTGATAGAGAGCATAGACAACGCAAGACAAACAGAAAAATTAATAGAATAACTCACTGCAAACAAGGCCAGTATTTAACTGGTAGAAAAAGCAAGTTCAAACAAATATGTTTTAAGCCGTGATTTAAAAGATTGAATAGAATCAGACGCCCGGATGCCAATTGGGAGATTATTCCACAGCTCAGGTGCAGCTAGAGCAAACGCTCGATCACCTCTAGACTTCAAACGAGATCTGGGCTGAACCAACAATAACTGTGAGGATGATCTTAAAGCCCTCGCAGGAGCATATGAGTTTAAGAGTTCCTTAAGATAGCTTGGTCCTGTGTTATTAGTAATTTTAAAAGTAAGCAACAGAATTTTAAATTGAATACGAAATTTCACAGGCAACCAGTGCAGATCAGCAAGGACGGGAGTGATGTGAGCAAACTTCTTAGTTTTAGTTAGAATGCGTGCAGCGGCATTCTGGACTGTCTGTAATCTATGTAGAAGGGTAGAGTGGAGACCAAAATAAAGTGAATTACAATAATCTAGCCTTGACGTTACAAAGGCATGGATGAGCTTTTCCAGATCATTGTGCGGGATATAGTGTTTGGCCTTAGAAATAAGGCGAAGTTGGTAAAAGCTGGATCTGACGACAGCAGACACTTGTTTATCAAGTTTAAATGAGCTGTCAAGTAGCACACCCAGATTCCTAACAGTGTCAGAAAAGGAGCTAGTGAGAAAACCAAAGGCATCATGAAGTTTGGCACGGAGAGCGTCACTACCAAAGATCATAATTTCAGTTTTCTTATCATTAAGGATAAGAGTATTTGCCAGAAGCCATTGCTTGACCTCACACATACACTCTCGAAAGTTACTCACCGACATAGCTAGATCATCATTTAACTCAAAATAGATCTGGATGTCGTCAGCATAATAATGAAAAGCAATGTGGTATTTCTCAAAGATAGCACTTAAAGGAAGCATATATAATGAGAACAGGGTAGGGCCTAACACAGATCCCTGAGGGACACCACAGCAAACAGGTACAGCGGAAGAAGACGAGGTGGCCAAGTGAACCGAAGAGAGCCGATTGGAGAGGTAAGATTTAAACCAATCCAAGGCAGCGCCCTTGATGCCTACAGTGTGCTCTAGTCTCGCCAATAGTATGTTATGGTCAACCATGTCAAATGCCGATGAAAGATCCAATAGCACTAGGACAGAGGGGCGTCCATTGTCAGCCATTATAAAAGGTCATTAAAAATTCGGAGCAGCGCTGATTCAGTGCTGTGATGTTGTTTGAAGGCCGATTGAAATTTATCATTAATGTTATTCTCATCCAGGTAGGTCCGAAGTTGAAGCAGAACTACCTTCTCAAGAATTTTGGCCACGAAGGGAAGCTTAGAAATCGGCCTATAGTTGGCATAATCATTTTGATCGAGGTTACTTTTTTTAAGAACAGGTTGGATTTTAGCATGTTTAAAAGCTGATGGTACATAGCCGGAAAGCAAGGAAGAGTTCAATATGGACAATAGACAAGGTCCAATTGCACTAAAACAGTCCTTGACTATACGGGATGGAAGAACATCATGTACAAGATTAGTATTGCATCCTACAACAACTATGGCTCGTGCTGTCTTTTCACTTCTGCTGACTTAATTGTCGTGAGCAAGTGCCTCATTTCTGCATTTCTACAAACAAACCTGATATCCCAACTTCAGAAACCTGGATAAGATTTCACAATTACAGAAGAAGAGGAAAACAAAAACAGGAAACTTGACCAAGTTCAGTCATGTTATGTGATAGTAACACAAAATATATTTTTAATCCGTTTTAGAATGATGGGATTAACCAGTTAAATATACTTTATGGAGACGTCAACCTGGTCGTTTGTGTAAACAGGTTTCCCGACAGAGTGACTCATCCACAGCACTCTGTAACAGAGACTCTGGTATTTGTAACGTAACCTAAGATGTGTTGAACCAGATGTTTTGTGTTCGTGATAATGTAATCTGGGATCAACCTCACAGCACAAAGCTAACTAACCAGACAGACTGTCAATATAAACACTGGAGCCATAACCAGCTTTCCTTTCCCTGACACAACTGAGTACCCCTGCAGAAAAGTACTGATGTCTCACCTGGCCCACAGAGAGCATAAACTTCTTGAATGTCTCACTTAAACGTGTCTTTGTTTCAAGGTCAAACAGCAACTAGCTTGTGTGTGTCTACCAGGACAGTTTTTAGGCTCAGCACTACTGGCTGGGCTAATGTAACACTAGCCAGTCCAAACGTCTCAACAGCAGAGGGCAAGAGGGTGAGAAGGATTTAGCCTGCTGTGTTCAGAAAATATAAGAGGACAGATATCAGCAGAGCAACTGAAGATAAACTATTTTAAGTCATGACACTTGAACTGTTTGTTTTTACTCTTTAGTGTGACTTACTCTGTCAGGCTGGATTTGAAATACAGCAGGATAATTACATCCATCAGCTTAGTGATTGTATTTGGTTTTCTAAAAATTAATGCTTCAATGTTTGGAGACCTGCAGGAGGTCGATTTAGGGCTGGAATATTTCACCACCAAACGTGGTAAAGATGGCAGCTCTCACAACCAAACTCAGCACCGAGAGCACATTTTTTCATTTAAAGCCTCATACAGCAATACTGTGGCTCACAGTCAGCAGGCAAACCTGCTGATTAGATATTGAAGAAGCATTATAAACCGCTAGTGATCGTGTAGTTTCATGCAGCGCATGGTAAAGATTGTTGTTCCATGTTTTTTACCACAGAGCTGGCTCACAGTGCCAAAGGTCCATTCTATATAACATCAATCATCTTAGAAGAGTTTTGTCCAGCTTTTAAAAGACGGTTATGTTAGAATAAATGTACCTATACAAGTAGTTATGTCTGCTGTACTACTGAAAGGCCCTCTGCGGACTTTATCAAGCCTGTTTGTTTTGTTTTTTAAATAAATAAATGACCAGCAGCCCTCCTCTCCTCTATAAGCAGCAGACTTTTATGTTGCACTGAGAATTTATTGAACTGCATTTAAGCGTTTCTCTCGTCATCCCCTGCTCTTCATAACATTTCTCTTCTTGCCTCCGCTGTTGTCTTTGCGCCTGCGAGTCCTGCTGCAGGTGGAGTCAAAACCTACCCGCTCCAGATCTTGTCGGAGGTGTGTGAAGAGCTGCAGGCGGCGCAGCAGCACCTCTTGCTCGCGCCGTGCCAGGCTCTCCTCTTCGTCTTTTTTGGGCGTGAGAAGCGGCTGGTTGAAGTTGGCTTTGCGTTTCAGTTTCCAGTACTGATAGAGAAAGTCCACCACCTCAGGCACCAGCTTCAAGTTACTAGTTACCTCCTCCACGTCTACAAACTGGTAGAACTCTTCCTCCATCTCTTGCAGCTTCAGTTTGCGGAGGTTGACTCTCTTCTCTTCTTTGCTGAGTGCCTCTGGGTTGGTCAGTGCTCTATCGATGAGCTGAGGGGCCACACAGGAAGATGAAGAGGGGGAGGCAGCATCTTCCTCCTCTAACACCTTCACTCTCCTCCTGCCCTTCTTGTCTCTGGCACTCTCCTTCTCCTCGTCACCCGAGTCGCGGTCCCTGGACTCGTCACCCTCAAGCCCAGAATGTTTGGGGCAGTAAGACTTGAACTTGACCTCATCGTCATCTGTGAGGATAGTGTTCATTTCAAGGTTGGCGTGGAGGCCGCACGTCACGTGGAAGGAAGTCCGGCAATTTTTTGCTGAACACTAAAGAAACAAACAGAAAAATGTTTACTAAAATTAGGTTTTTTGTCCCCCATTCCTACAGGAAATATAATATATAATTAAATAAAACAACAACAACAACAACAAAAAAAAACCTTATTACTTAAAAATGCCAAAACTGAAATGCTGTCAAAGATGTCAAATTCACCAAAGCACAGCCTGAGACACAAACCAAAAAGAATCTCTAGCATCAGAAACATCAAATTTCTTCTCTAGTTATTCTTTAAACCTGCAATTCTGTATTTTGCCATTTGGGGGCAGCAAAAACAACATACAGGTATTTAATTGATCAAAATAAACCAATCAAATACCAAAGTAACACTCCAGCCCTCTACTTGCTGTGACTCAGGCTCTCATACAAACCCACTTCAAACAAACAGAAGTACCTTCAGCTTAATAAGAAGTGAAAACAGTCAAACATATCAAAATGTCATTAATGACATCACTAAGGTTTCTGAAAATTGTATCAGAAAGAATTTTGATGATTGTGCTATCTCACAGTGTGATGTACTTTTAGCTGCCCTCGTATTTCCTAAGGGGTTGCCGCAGCGGGTGGATCCGCATATTTGATTTGGCACAGTTTTTAGGGCGGATGCCCATCCACACAACGCTGATATCTCACACTACCAACACATATATCATGCACCAACATTCAGCCTAAATATACACAGAGATCATTTCTTTCTCCATATCACTCAGTCCAGATCTGCTGTGTGTCAAATTGTCTTCCTGCCTTACTTTTATGTTGTTACTGTTGTGAATTTAACATGTTTAACACAAAATCTAAAACCACACACTAAAACACTTCATTGCTGAGTGATCTGCTGTGCCTTTAATCCTCCACCCTGCTGAAGTGTGAAGTCACTGCCTTGATTTCCAGTACATGTGAACTGAAGAACACTGACGCATCCTTTCACTCGGTGTGGATCAATAATGCCCACACTGTGGAAATCTCCTCCCGTAGTCTGAGTTACTGACACGTGCTGGATGAGCTTTTCACATTAAATGAACCGTGTAACGTTAATAACCTGAATGCATGCGCCAGTCTTCTCTTTGCAGAGGCAGCAGATCAGAGCCCATCTGTTGCTGGGAATATGGGACACATTGGTGATCGGCTCCATCTTCTCTGGATTCCCAATGCTCACCTGCACAGAGGGTTTAACACACAAAGAGGACACGAGTTGCTCAAACGTCAGCGCACATGGTGTTGACAAATGCAAGTACATGCAGAGTGGTCTTAGACACAGTGTCACTGCCATGTGTGTCAAAATGGTTACCAACATTTTAAACAAGTGGGATCAAAACCTACGACTCTTAACAAGACAAGCAGCTGTCAGGAGCAGCCAATCAGAAGAAGAGTGGAGGCTACTAGAGTCCCACAATGACCATTTGATTAAAAAACAGAAATTATGACTGATCTTCACCTCTGGAATCCACAAGGCACAGCTGACGTGGACCCACTTAGTTCCACTTCGGGTGGGCTTCATGGCTCCGCCCTTTTTGGGACACAACTGGCACTTTGGCAGGATGCCGAGGGCACAGATCCGACACAACCAGCTGCCCTTAGGGACTTTCTGGATGCCGTAACACGCCTGAAAAGAAACCCAAACAGCCGCTCAGTTTCCAGAAAGCAAGCAGAAATGACGACGCAGACAGGAAGTAGGTGTGTCACATGAAAAGCAAACCGAAAATGTAAGACAAGTCGCTTTTTTTGCCTCAGTGAGGCGAATCTCTAAAGTCTTGCAACTTTCTTTTTTCTTTGAACAAGTTAACAAAATCCATCTTTTTCCCCTACAGGAAACATTAAAACGGGAAGAATTTTATTTTGAGTCCTTTCATGTACAAAAAGCTAAATAACTGCGTTGACGTTAGCAATACGCAGCCAGTTTATTCAATGGGAGTGACTTCATATATTTTTACTAGACAGGGAAAAGTTTAAAACTGACAAAAGAAAACAGATTTGACTTCATATTGCACATTAACAGATTTAGAACAATATTCTGTGGCTGATGACAGATTTGTCCTCTGTCTGCTGTGTTTTTTTCTCATTTTAAAGGGAGATGATGGCTGACCTGGTGAACGCAGATGTTGCACTTGTCACAGAACACCATCTCGTTGTTGTCCTCCCCGTCAGGTGACTGGCAAACATCGCACACCACATCCTCGTCATACTCGATGCCTAACCCCTCCTCGGTCTCCATGGCGTGCGTCATGTTTTCGTGGCAGCAGCGCTCAAACTCTTCCATCACACGCTCCATGGTGATTTCATCCAGTGGCGGAATAGCTGGGAAAAATATACATGAATAAAGATGTCCTGATCTATTATAAAGTTACCTTATTTGTTGATGCTCTCTTACACTTTTGGTTAGACAATATGATCAGACTGCAGTGATGAAAAAAAAATAAATCTGCCTCCTGCAGGAGAGTCTGGGTTTTATCATCTTCAATTTCACTACAATTTAAGCATCAATATTTCTCTGTGGGCTGAGTAAATGCCCTTTTTGTTTGGCTTTTAATTTGTAATTACACCTACATTTTCCATCCATCTAAAAGCAGACAGAAGACACAAAATGCTCAATAACACATACAACACTGAGAGTTATCAAAAAGAAACTGGAAACAGCAGTGCAGTAACACAAGAAGCCTAAAAAAAAGCCGGACTCTACTCAAAATACAAACTGGACCCAAAAACCAAGTCTGTATATAAACACAGCTTGCAGCTGAAGGAGCACAGGAGAAGTTATGAGGGTGTCAAGGACAAGAAAGATGAACAGGACAGATTTCGCTGGCTCTCTGCGTCTCTCAGCTCACGCTCCTTCTGAAGAAAATAGCTTTGTGACTGCAAACCTGTACTGCACGTCTGTTTATACAACAAGGATCTATAATAAATACATAGATAATAATAGTAATCTTTCAATGAACTTCACTGAATACTGATGGCAAACAAGCAGGCTGACAGAGTGTAAAGCTTGATGTCAACATCTCAGACCTTGCAGCTGTGGACACAGCTTTAAAACGCTTTCATCTGCTCTGTTTCATTTCATTTGATACATTTGATACAACAAAAAACAAAAGAAACAACTATATTCAGTTCCTGAGCCTAAAAATAACTTACAGATTTAACCATCAAACAAGCAGCTACAGAACAAATATGTACTCAGTGACTCACCCATCTCTGTAAACTCTTCATTTATGACCTGCAGCCAGGCCACGTCTTCCTCGTTCAGGTCGTAGCGACACATCCCCTCCGCCAGCGTGCGGATGTCCACGTAGCCGAGCGCTTCTGTGCCTGATGTCCGGATCAACTTCTTTGGCCTACCAAACATCGTCTCCTTTCCTTTCTCGGACAGCACCCTGCACAACCGAGACCTTCACATTCACTATCGTGCACATGCAGTACAATATGGTAGCATGTTTAATCGAACTATACATTATTAACCAACAACTGGTGGTCTAACATGTACGGCAGGCTTTACAGTAGCTCCTAGCCGACCCAAAAACACCTCTGGACTTTTTAAGGCATTCAAGGACTTTTCTTTTCAATGACACTTTCAAAAAGGATGCGATTTCCTGGTTTGCACTTAAACAGCCCTCAAATTTATAAAACATGTAATATTTACAATTCTGATACTGATGAACAGTAGACAGGATGGTAAAAGATTATCTTTCATGGTCATACAAATGAATGGAAACACTGTTACTAAATTAGTAACACTGTAACATTTCTCTGCTGTAATTTTGTTAGAAGGGTATTTCCTGCACGGCGGGATTTCTGGTGTCCCCTCAAAGAGGCTTTAACCAGAAACTCACCAGCATTCTAAAAATGTTTTGTTAATAAGGGTTTCGTTTACTCATATTTTCTTGAAATGCATCAATGTCTGTTAGGCAGGATGATACAGACTCACTGCCTTTATCATACACGGACTGTGTTTGCTCACTGACATCCCCTAAAGGCAAATTCTGAACCACGAAAACCCTTCAGCACTCAGTGGTCGACAGATAAAACAATACAGGTTTCCAAGGTGATATTTTAGCACCATCAGCTTGATATTTTGATCTACCTCTACACAGGCTGTGCTAAATCACTTGGAGCCTCAGCTTGACTCGACTCGGTTTCAGACGTTTTCCGTTACAGCCGAGTATCACCTAATGCTGGGTTGTTATAGTAACGTGGTCTCGTGACTTCATTGTACATCACACAAACACCAAAGCAATGGAGAACGTCAAGGCGATGGCATACCTGCTGCTCGGTGTATAGCTTTTTGTCACTCTGGGACCACTGTGGTTTTTTTGTGTAGCCATTTCATTTGTTGCTCGGTTTCAAAAATGGCAGTTTTGATTTTCGTAAAGGCGTGCTCTCATGACTCATTGAGTTACACCACTAACTAGCCAATTGACATCACGTTTTTGCACTGCTCAGAAGCCCAGTCGAGTAGGTATTTAAAACATTTTTTTTTTTAAGTACACAGTTTCAGGTTCTACCACCTAATCGAAAACCATAAAAACCAAGGCCAGTCGAGCCAACCCAAGTGGGTACAAGTGGGAAAGGGCTAGAAGTGTCAAAGTCTCCGTCAGCTACGCTGCCTCTTATTCACTGAAGTGAACTATGAGTGAGATTGAATGTGTTACTTTTATTTCCTACCTCACAACAGGCTGTGGGATGGAGTGGGGGCTGACGGGGACCTGGACGCCCTTCTCCCACTCCTGCCTCCATGGGTCAGCTAGGACGTAGTAGTCCTCGGTGTTCAGCTGATACGAGTCGTGCACTTTCATGGCCGTGATCAGGTCCGTCCTGAAAACCTGCAGCACATAACATGAACATTGCTAAGTGTATAATGAGATTTCAGAGAAAACTGCTGCAAAACAAAGCTCGTCTCTGCAACAGCGTCAAGAACTTCAATCAGCTTAAAGAAGAAAGCTGAAGGTTTGCTAAATTACATTTTTGCAAAGCAACTGATAAATAAATATAGAATGTATGAAAACGTATATCACTGTTTGAACAGGTTAAAAAAAAAAAGAAAGGAAAAAATAATTGACTACACTGACCCTCACAGCTAAAGACAGCAAATTAGGATCCTGCATTGGCTCAAGTCATTGTTTTGCTTTAATTTGATTGGCTCTCTAGTGAAAGGGAGGACACAGTGGACTGCAGGGACCAAGTCCACAGACTGTACAGTAGATAACAGCAAACGTGCTTTCATCTCAAGGACACACTATGGAGTGTGGGTCCAAGATAGCACGTCTTTTCTTACACGTATAAACAACCACATAAACATTTATTTTACAGATGTGCTGCCAGCTGGTCCTTTCATTTTCACATTCATTTGTCAGCCACATATACACGTCTTTAGTTAAAATCTAAAGTACGATCCCAGAGTACAAGACTGACAAAAAAGAAGGGCCATTAATTATAATCTACACATTTCAAGTTTTACAGCAACCTTTTAAAAACCACAATAAATAGTTTGAGACCAAATGCGTACCTCAGAGGGTTTCTGCCCAGTCCACCTCCTGTGCTGCGATGAATGCTGGGACCAGCAGGTGGAATTACCTGAAACAGAAACGCCACAAACTGTTGTACAGACCCACATTTCTTCTTTGAGCATCAGCCCAAGTCTGCTGATTTTCTAATAAACAACTTCACACCATTAAATACGTCTGGATTTCCCCCAATGAGGGGAAACTTGAGAGAAACGCCTGGCTCATTTGGATAGTCAAACTGGGGCAACTGACATTTTCTGTTTTCAATTTCATTTTATCAGCTAGAGTCACCAATTTGACTTTGGGCCAGGTATGAAATTGATGATCAAAATGGGGTTGTTTTTTTTTAGTTCTGATTTTTTAATCAACTGCAAGAACCACAATAAAAAGTGCTTGATCAGTGTGGTGTGCTTTATGGCATTAAATATTTTAACTTGTCTGTCTAATAAAACCCTAAAACAGACCAGGCTAAAAGCAATTTCCAGTAAGCGCTTGGGGTTTGTTTTTATAACAGATGGCAAAGTGATACGAATGCTCAGTCATAATGAAGCATGTACCTTGCTTTCTGTAATTTACAGCTCCGGGCAGCATTTTAAACAATGTGGTAAAAGTCCAACCTCTGAGGGAAACCAACAACTGCAAGCTGTTCCCAGATTTGAGACCATCTGCCTGACCTGCCAGGATGTCTTTAAAGGTCCAAACATGCCTCCTGTCCCTACTCTGTCTCCTGTTTCTCGGACTACAGGACTTCTTTTGCTTTTCCTTTATGTTTGTCCATCTACTGCACTTGTTTCTCTTTCTTATCTTCTTTCCTGAACATGGAAGTAGAGACTTACTCACACTGACACCAATAACATTAGAGATACATTTTCAAGTCTAACTGCAAAGCAAAAGTGTCATGGTTATCAAGGAAGCTGTCAAAAGACTTTACTTTTACTTCTAAAAATAGCCAGACTTCATGAAGTCATTCGCTTTGTCTGAACTTATCTCGGTGCTTGGCACTTGTGCTGGCAGGGTTGTGCCAACCCTCGTTCCCATCTATATGTGGACTTGGTATCAATGAGTCAGCAGAGACAATATTTTTTGCTTACTTCCATTGTCCGAGTCATCGCTGCTGCTGGGGTGTCTGCTTCTCTTCATTGTCACCTGTCTGCGGAGCTCCGGCATAAGGGCACTTCACAAACAAGAAATGAGGTAGAGATACAGAATGGGAGGATGAAAAGGTACACGATAAACAACTGTAGAAAAGATTTGGTAGTAAGATTAATAGGCTGCCTTAAAACCCCTCACACAAAGAAAGTCGAGTCAGTTAGTAAATGCTACTTTTGGTGAGTGGCTTTGCACAATGCTGTAACCAAATCATGCTCAGTTACACCATTACCAAAAGCAAACATATTGACCAAAAATATTCTTCTGGGTATTATCAATTAGCTGCAATTCACTGCAGCTAAACACGGTGGTATGATGTATTGATTATGCAAAATCTGAGAAAACGATCATGTTGTGGTGAAATATGTTCCCAACAGTAGGGGGGGCAAAAGTGGATCAATCAATATTTACATCACTGCCATGCTAGTGCTAAATTATCACTTCTACCATATGAGAACGAAGCCCAACAACAGTCCAAGAACTTGTCACTATCCCACCGGTTTCCGTCCTGATCAGCCAGCAAGGCTGTATAAACACACACGCACGCACCAGTCACTGCTCGAGAAGAAGTTACCGCATGCTGCACTGACAGAAAGCAACACTGTTATAAGATCAGGCTACCCGTGCACGGAGTCTCAACTCCCAAGAGCACAGGAGGAAATTTCTCAGAATCCGCCGCCAACCCGCATAGGGAGAAAGGTGCTAACCCTAATTTAGCTGGCTAGGCTAAAAGCAGGCTAGCCAGGGTCTGTGCGACGCCCCTCCTTCCAGCAAGCAGGCTGCAGAAAGTACGAGCTAAATTACGAGAAACTAGCTCAAGCCACCAGCTGATCAAAACAACTGCTCCCCGGTGCTATTCTGGCAGCCTTGTGTTATAAGAATGCGGATGCAAGTTCTAAGCAGACTACGGAGCGTTGCATTTTTTAAGTCACATTGCAACTCTACATGGCTAATGTTAGCCTAGTTGCTAATCTCCTATTTCCGTTATGTAACATAAGGCCCATCCCTAACCGGCGCCTCAAATTGGCATGTTTATATTTTTTAAGTTAGCAACAACATTCGCTATATACAAATGAGTTAACTTAATAAACAGAACATATGGATACTAATTCGTATCACGAATATTTAATTTTGTTGTCTAAAGTCATTGTACACCTTATGTTTCGCTGACGTTGTTGGTTAGCACACCGGCTAACTAGTTAGCTGGAGGCTAATGTAGATTGTGTTTAGCATTATTAGCCGATGTTGCTAACATAACACGGGGTTCTACGGTGCCACTCACTAAATCCCACGGCACAGACAGCGCGCTGTCAAAGGTTAAGGGTCAATTCTTGTGCAAAACAAACTACACCAAATCAAAAACAACACGTGAATTTAAACTCATCGTTAATACAACACTGCCTTTTCGCTACTATGCAGCTAACCAGCAGGGCACAGTGTGGTAGGTTTACCAGCGGTCCACTGGTTGAGGTTAATCTTTGGCGCCATTTTAAATGACGATGTCGCGTTTTCCTAGCGGACTGCTAGTACGTCCATACTAGAAATATAAACTCGCTCAAATGTCTAGATAAAATAATTCTGGTACATATGCACCTGAATTAAAACAGCGTAGAGTTTAAATAAATTGCATAGTACGTACAGAGCACGTCAGGCCGATGCGAGCCGCTGTTTTGAGTTTGAAGCGAAGCGCAGTTTTTGCCTTGAGTTCCGCTTGACCCGCATTCCACATACACAAACACAGTGGCGGCTGGGGAGGAGATTACTCTGCACACACGCAGCTATGTGCATCGGCCGCTAGAGGGCAGCAAAACCGAAACTGGTAGCACTAATCCGACAGATCACTGCAGGAAAAAACAAGAAGTTTCCACAGCCTCGGTAACAACCCACGTTGCCCGGTTGCCAGTTTGAGTGTCAACAAACCATAATAATGTGTGCATAATTCTTTCCCAAGTGTGTACGACGGAGGGTTTCTACTGACAACAAAGTCTCTGCTTTCTGTCAAGGACACCACACACTACAGGGACAGACCATCAGCAACATAAAAACAAACATTTAGTGAGAAAAGGACACATTTTCTTCCCTTCGTAAAGGTTTCCTAGATCAATATAATCACTTTCTTTACTGATACGCCCCTTTTTGTGTTTCTTTCTGTGCTCTTCGATATTATTTACAACATACTGTATCAGCTCATTTATGAAAGCAGTTTGATAATATCTGATTATTTATCCCAGAAGCTAGGAAACTTGCAAGTTACAGCAAGCAAAACACTGAAAATAGCCTTTAATAAAATAGTCCCGTTAACGCAGAATAGCTGAATAAAAGGCAAAAGAAAATATCTCAGTGAAATGAAGTATTTTATTATACTTTGCATAGTTTGCTCATGGATACACCATATTATAAATAAAAAAAAACTGTAAGACTCATTATCTATAATTCTTGGATCCTCGTAATTTTTGCCAGGAGAAACCGAGACAAATGATCACATTACATATTGGATATGACTTCTTAAAATTGCTGCTTTGGTAACAAAGAACAATTTAACATAATAGTAATTCAATAACTAATGTGTAAACTGTGTAAAGTCCAGGCAAAAATTCAGGGAGGCTGTAAAAACATCAACTAATAAATATTTAAGACTAAAGAACTGTCACAGTATCAGCTACAAGGACAAACTCCCAACACCCTGTGGCTGTGTTTACATGCAATACTTTTAATACAAAAAATTATAAACATAATATTTTTTGTTCAAATGAACTTTTTGTACAGAATATCCAAGATGTGTGTCTGAAGGATGCATGCTTACAGGAATGAGCAGGAGGAGGAGGGTCCGGTGACTCAAATGCTCCATTTCTATTGCACATGTTGTTATTCTACATTTACATGTCATCAGTGACACACATGCTAATAAAACATAATCTCACAGCTCCATTAACACATGTTTTAATTCACGTGTGAACTTATCAGCAGCTATGAGGAGCCGATTTGATGCGAGTCGGCTTCTGGTGTGAACAAGAGCTTCAGTTCCTGAAGCCTCGCTAACTAACATCATAAAAAAATAAAACATAAAATGACAAAATGCACCAGACATCAACAAAGAGGGTTTTTTAAACAGCACCCAAGTGATTCTTTTTTCTTCAACCAGCCAACACAGTGAGAATTTCATAATAGCAGCAGAGGAATGATGAAGGTAAACAGAGGTGATCATAAAGGGTTAAATACAGTTGAGTCTCATCTTCCACTCATCACAGTGAACAGGAAAGCTGGGAACACGCGCACGTTCACACACATCACATCACTTTTTTTAAGTTTAAAGGTCAGTATTTTTCCTATTTGAACTTTATTAGTCTGATGTGTCTTCCTGCGAGTGAAACAGAATCATTAAATACACACATCTAGCACAGACTTGGTAAGATCTACAAGACAGACAAAACTGACTTTTCTACAGAGACTGAGAAATGACAGACACATTGCAAGATAGACACAACTGAGAAAATATTGTGTAGAACAATGAAAGCAATGATGGCAGCAGGTTTACAGTCTGATTTTTGCATGAACAAATATTATAGGCTCAGTTTTCCCAACAGTGTGAAAATGACTTTTTTCTTTATCTGGTTAAAAACTGTTTATGATCAGATTATATCTGAAGTCTGGATGTAATTCAAAATTATAAAAATAACTTTGTGCAAAAATGTTTAAAAAGGTTTTGGGGTGCATATGCAGTGCCCACTATGATATACTGGTCTAATATTCTGGTTGAATAGGCATAAAAAATAGTCATAAAAGAGAAGAGAAGCGAGTGTTGACATTAACTCGTCCACCAATTTGGATGTGTGATGATCACAGTGATAATGTAGGATCAAGTAAATAAAGCCCCAGTCACACAAGCCAGTCAAATGGCCTGTGATCATTTGGCAACCACTGACTCTGAGGGAAGTGAGTTTACCCCAACCAGTTTCTTGAAGTTGATAGTAGTCGCTGGGACGTAGACAAGGAGCTTCTAAATGCCATAGGTACCAGTTCAACCAACTGGTGAAAAACTCTCTGTCATTGCTTTGGTTGCTAGCATGTTGCTGCTGTCCTAGTTGGACTGGAAGTGACAGAGTTGACTACAAACACTTCCCAGCCACTCTCCGATCTTTAGTGAAACTGCAAAAAGTCCAACACAAGCTAGAAATAAAGACTCTTCACCTTCAAAGTAAAAGTTGCAACTTGTGAAACATGCTTGCCTCCAGTGGTAAGGCACGGCTTCTCCATTTCCACTTTGCGTAACATTTTTACAAATTGTACAAACTTTTACAAATTGTAAAAATGTACTAGTTCTCAGCTAGATGAGTATTTGCAGACAACCACGAAAAACTACAAGCAATGTGCTAGCAACCAAAGCAATCACTAGGATGATTTTGGTCCTGCACATATTTTGCAACCATTTTCACCCAGCGAGAGGCAACCCATTGGGGAACACACATTTCCCATGCAAACACTTGTTGTGTCATCTTCAATATGGTGAACAACTCTTGAGCAATGAATTCATGTCAGAGCCTCGACACTGAGCTAACCAGTTGCTTATTAGCTTAGTGTATTTATTTAGTTAAGGTAAATTAAACATATCTGCAGGTTAACCTACTTTTGTCTTTATGCTAACTATGCTAAACAGTTACTTGTTAGCTTAGCTTAGCTTAATGCTAAGTTAACAAGCTTCTGGTGGTAGTAGTAGCTTCATATTTAGCATACAACCATAAGAGTGGTATCAAGAGAGGAAATCTTCATCAAATGTTAAATTTGTATGACTAAAAGATATTATCTATCACAGCAGCAACCTCTAACCAGAGGTGTGGTCGAAAGACAAGGTGAACTGTAAGAAAAAATTTAAAAATATTAAATAATTGGTGTTGACGATAACATAAACTGGAGATCCATGTGGACAACTTTTTTTTTCTCCCCACAGTTTACAGTTTGATGTTGACATCTGTTCCTTATCGAGGCCTTGAAGTTTCCACTTAACCTTTCTCTAATTTCCCAGAGTTTTGACAGATGCTTTCTAAGCATCCCGCTCTCTGTCTGAGCTCATCTGATGGCCAATATGGCATCATAAGATTTGCCCGTGCGGCAGACCTGAATGTTCTTGAAGCCGGTCTTGTTGAACATGTGTGTGTACTCGGACGGTGGGTGCTCCCTGCCCTTCGTCTGCACCAGCATGTTGAGGGAGAAAAGCTGAGTCATGATGGGCCCTCGTCTGTTCTCAAACAGCATCGCTTCTACCAGCAGGACGCCGCCGCCTGGCAGGAGGACAAACAAAGATACTGAAAGCAGTTTTTGTTTCAAATAGAAACAAAAACTGCTATAAGTATAATAATCAAATGAAAAATTGAGAAAATATAGCAACAATGTGTACTCTACTGAGTGAAATAAGTGTTTGATCCCCTCGAAACACATGATTTCGTACTTGGTGGAGTAAACTAGTGTTGGCCAGCAGGTTTGTGAACATCTTACAGTGCAGCAGATAAAATACAGGTCAAATCATTAACAAATGGAAACAATTACTAAAACTGTTATTTATGCTGTGCTCCAGATACCACGGAAGTCGGAACTTGGGAGTGTCGGCAGTAAAGTTGCAAAAGCGAAGAAAAATGGGATTTGTTTTCATTATTACCAAAGTAGAGCTATTCACGTGTCACAAGAAAAACAAT